TGCGGCTGGAAGGATTAGGTAAATTGAAAAAATCCAATGACCTCATCTGGATTCGATCCCACGACCTTTCGGCTTATAGCATATTGCCTCAACCAACTAAGTTACAGCACCTTCTAGTTAATAGTAAATGTTTATAAAATTTCTATTAAAATGTCCAGTAATGACTTTATTTATATATGGCAAAATTCTTATACTGTATTATCCGGCACTCAGTAACATCCCTCATTTTTAAGCCTGCAATCTGTTCCTGTTGGTAGCCTCAAAAAGATGTTTGAAAGGAGTTATATGTAAGAATACGCTGTATAGTTCTTGTGACTGATACTGACCAAATTACTCAGAGAACTTTAATAAAAGTATGCTCAGACTGTACCATTTACAGTCTACGAAATGCCTTAGGGGAAAGAGATGGTTAAAGATTCTGAACATTTATTTTCTCCAGAGCGTTTTATTTGCTCTAAATGATATATTTTAAACATACTAATTTTAAGTTGTCAGAATAAGTCGGTCATTTCTTTAGTACGCACTCCGTCATGTTACCTTGAGATTTCTCGTGAGATGACTGTATCCATCTCTAGACTGCTCAGGGTCGAGATGCAACACCTCCTCCAGCTGAGTCTCCGTGCTGCCGCCTGACCCCTGCTGAACGAGGGCCAACAAAGTGGACACACTCACAGGAGAAATCACCACGTTCTCTGCATCATCTTTCAGCGCCGCCTGCGTACATTTTACATTTTTACGTGTGAAATGTAAATTTATCAGAAACTGGGCGAACTAAAATGCTGTTACAGCTAAAACAGTGGATGAAGCGTCCTTCTCAAGAATTAATTGATTTTTAAAGTTAGATTATCGCATTGGTTGTAATTGCCACAGTTTAGCAAAATATAAAAATTATTTACAGAGTACTTCACGCATATTCTTAATGAAAAATTAAAAATATAAGTCCCTTAAGACGCAACCAGGACTTCATAATTTTTAGGCTTACATGTCACCTGATAGTCAAGTCAATGATGTTACGTTGTACTAATATGCAGTTAGGACAGAAGAAAGGCCGCACCATAGCTCAAGCGGTCAGTCGCTGGCTTCCCACCGCGGCGGCCCGGGTTCGTTCTCGGGTCAGGACAAGTGGGATTGGTGGTAGACAAAGTGGCGCTGGGGCAGGTTTTCTCCAAGTACTTCGGTCTCCCCTGTCAATCTTCATTGCACCAAATTCTCCATAACCATAATCACCCGGGGCAGGCTACAATAGTCCAATCAGTGGCCGCCGTGCCGAGTGGACCCAGTCGGACTCCACCCCCCACTAAGTGAATTAGGACAGACGAAACAAGAAATACATCCAATATTTAGATAAAACTTTCGGAAAGGAGCCGCTTGGAACACAAAGAAGGAGATATGAGTGTGGCTTTAAAGTGATTTCTCAGGAAGACGAGTTGTATTGATTCGGACAAGAACAGATTCCAGTGCGAATTAATTTACAAATTTATTCCCCGAAGAGGCTATCTCATTTGGCAGATGACTGTATTCAAGAAATATATATTTGGAAATTAGGCCAGGTCCAGCCGTACTTCTCCTTCTTTTGATTGTAAGAGGGTTGTTCAGCAACACAGGCCCTTCCTCTGTCCCTGTCTTAAGTCTCTACTCCTGAATTCCTTCCCATGTACTCCTTCCTTGTGTCTGCTGTAGACATCATGTGGGGTGGAGTCCAGCTGGGTCCACTCGGCACAGCGGCCACTGGTTGGCCTATTGTACCTACCCCGGGTGATTATGATAATGGAGAATTTGGTGGAATGAAGATTGGCAGAGGAAACCGAAGTACTCGGAGAAAACCCGGCCCAGCGCCACTTTTTCTACCACAAATCCCACTTGAGCAGACCCGGGATCGAACCCGGGCCACCGCGGTGGGAAGCCAGCGATTAACCGCTTGAGCTATGGCGCGGCCTCTGCGGAAATCTTAATTTCGCCGGGACTTATGGGGGTTTTAATTCCATGTTCAGCAACATTTGGGGGGGGGGATTATATTTTCTTTCATTCTCAGAACATGCCCACGCCATTTTACTCTGTTATATATTAATTTATCTTCCGAAATATTAATTTTTGTCTCTCTTTTTGCGTTTTAATACTCTCTTCTGGTTTTTCCTTCTCACCTGAAATCCAGCCTCAAGGGAACAACTTTCAAGTGTATTGTCTGGGAGAAGTACAACTGGAACCTAACGCCTGACACCGTCACGACAGGTGAGAACATCACTGATCCCGTAACTTGTATTCTACCCATCTCATTCCTGTGACTCCCTTTGGAGCAGAGGGCATCCGTGAAACGCTTCGTTTCACTTCAGTTTCTTAATTTTACACAGTCGGTAGGACTCACTGGAACTGGGATCAGCCTGTCCAAAACCGCTACCTAACATAAACGTAGACTAACATCCATGCCTTGAGTGGGATTCGAAGCCACGATTCCAGCGTTCGAGCGGGCGAAGACATGTCATGCCTTGGACCGCGCAGCCACTGTGGTCGGCGCTAACTGGTATTAGCTCTTCCTAACTGACCCAGATGAGTAGTGCCTCTCCACTTTCCCACCTGAAGACGGAGGCACATCCGGTTTCCGAAACGTTACGAATATATTCTTTGGAAATATTAGACGACGGACAAAATCAAGATATTCAGTAATCCAAAGTACGTATATTCTTGGTTTGTTTGACACTGCCCCACTACCCGCATCGTTCGATTTCACAACGACATTTACACCAGCCAGAAATGTTATCACTTCGACTAGTGTTCAAGTGGTTTTACTGTCTGTTCGTGTCACTTCGAGTTCAGGGTTTTGGTACCTTTAAAACCTACATAGAGGCTATTGCGTACACAGTGTGTGACATGCATACTTCAGGGCAATAAAACTTGAAATTTAAATATATATTTTCCCCTTAGTTGTGTGTGAAGGTCCGTCTCTCACTTAAACTGTCGAAGCCTGAGAACAGTGTTCCGGAACTACATATGTATGCTTCTAAGACAAGGCAAGTAACAGCATAGATGGATAACATTAAATAAGGACGAACTTTATTATTTCTGCTGTTAGAATGTTATCCAACCGAGGAACCGACAGTGTACTGACAGTATCATTAAATAACCAACTTAAAATGGAGGAAGATGGGGGCAGCGCCATAGCTCAAGCGGTTAGTCACTGGTCCGGGTTCGATCCCGGGGTCTGGTCAAGTGGGATTTGTGGTCGACAAAGTGGCGCTGGGGCAGGTTTTCTCCGAGTACTTCGGTTTCCCCTGCCAATCTTCATTCCACCAATTGCTCCACAATCACCCTCACCTATCATCTGGAGCTGGTACAATAGGCCAATCAGTGGCCGCCGTACAAGGGACTTAGTCCCACCCCACTAGCAATAAAAAAAATAAGATGGGGGCAGGACATGTAGTGGAAGGTGATAAATAAAGTGATGAAGACCAAGAATTATTTTAATGGGAAACTTTAAAGTACCAAATCGTTTGAGAGACAAGCAGGGGAGGGTAATATTTAAGTGGATCTCTAAAAATGGAATGTTCATTTACGAGTTAATTCAATTTGGTTACTTAGTTAATTAGTGAGCTATTTTCAACAGGGAAATACGCGTTCGGGTCTCATATACGCAGGGAATTTCTTGACCATCTGAGTAACTATCACCTTCTCAAATGGAATTCCTTTTGACTCAGTTAGTTAAACAATTAACTTCTCGTTTTTCTTTAAATATAGACCACCAAATGCAGGTAGTTTTAATTAATGTATGACAGTGGTTTAATTTCGTGTTCCCTTCATTTTGGGTTTGTGTGCTTATTATTTTATGTTTCCTTGCTGTTGATTTTATGTATGTACAGTGTGAAGTAACGAGATTGCATTGTCACGTAACTAGCTACACACATACCCATGCGACCGTGTGTCAATCAGACTACATGAACTGGGGCGGAAAGTCGCACTTCAAGGGCGTATAGGTTATTCAGAGGCGTTACTTCCTAATTTGCATGTTGTGATGACCTTGCTGTTCATTTGTGCCAGACACAATCATGCTCTTATTGCGTTAATTGCACTGCATATCAGCTTCGCGTTGTCACAAGCTAGCGTTGCTCAATTTCTCATATCGAAAATGTTTCGTATAATTGTTGCACGGAGCGGGTTTGCGTAGCGGTGTTGATCTAGAATCATGTTAGGGAAATCCTCGGTTCGAGCCTCGACCGAGACACCGCTTATACTGACGGAGGTGTTTTCGTGGTTCTTCTAGGTCCCTCCAGGGAAATGCGAGGATAGTGCCTCTGTTAACCCAAGACCTCTTTCTTCTCTCATCCTCCCATTTGAGAATTTGTAGTGTAACTACTGAAAGCTTCATTTGGTAACCCACAAAAAATAACAGTTGCATATGCTAATGAAATACGTATGTATGTGTATATATATGCTTACATATGCTCACGTCTCATTTCTTCGTAAGCATCTGTAGAAATCGAGTAAGATCGGCCTGAACTTCATGAGAAGTTATAGGCCTATTTCACAGATACAAAACAAAATAAAATGAGCCCGAACATCAGTTTACTCCAAATTCATTTACTAATTTCTGGACTGAAGCATGTGAACATACGGCGTGATGTCAACACTTTGCAAAGAAGCGCGTCCTAACTGAAGCATCACTTGCATTAATGTTTCCCAAACATCGCTAATGGCCCATCACAGTGGCCGGCCGGTCTAAGACGTGAACTGTCTTCTCTCGCTGCAACGCTGGGATCGTGGGTTCGAATCCGACTCAAAGCCATAGATGTCTGTGTGTGCATTTATTCTGTTTGTGTTGTCCTGTGTAGGTAGGGCCTTGCGACGAGTTGATCACTCGTCCAAGAAGTCCTACCGTCTGTGTAAAAATGATTACGAAACTGAAGAAGAAGCCGGGGCCCAACAAAAGCCTGTAGAGACATTGATGATTGAAAATGAATGAATGAAACTTCAGAGATTTATTCTGGTCGAAGAGCACGTATAACCTAGCGAAGGCACCCGATTTTCGTCCGCAGTTCCCTTAAAATCAAGTGCACTCAAGTAATGAAAATGATTATTTATTATGAGGCCCTTATTAACACAAATGCAAAATTTTCCCTTCAATAAATTCTCTATTATTTACAACCGTGGGGCTGCATATTGGTCTTTTTATGTATTAGATGCTTTTCAAGCGATGGAACTGCAGTGAACGTAGATCTCTTTATGCAGCATAAAATGTTATTGTCACTTAGATACCAGACCAGGAATAAAGGAGAGATGAAAATTGGAGAAACGAAAGATTTTTATATCAGAAGAAGACCTAATTGCCCAGCTGGCGCTATATATGGCTTCTCGCCGCTGACCTACATATCCAAACCCGTGTGCTTTCTTCTCAGATTCGTGTCGGAAGTAGTGACACTGGAACAGAATTTTCTCTAAATTTATTCGGTTTTCCCCACTAATCTTCATTCCACCATTGCTCCATGATTACCTATCCCTCCCTCCCGTCGGGAAAGTTGTCTCAAGCTGCAACTCTTATGACTTCTGTCTGTAAAGTGACCAGTTCGAATCTCTGGCGGGACACCGTATATCCTGTCAGGATTTTTTGTACTTTTTCTCAGTTCTGCAGGAAAATTCCGAATAGTGTATCAACTATGTCACGGCCGCTTTTTTTCGCATTTCTTTTTCAACTTATTCACTCATCATCCTACCATATAACGCTATAGGCTCATAATCTGAGATACTGAAAACTTCATCAAATGATCCACAAAAATCACCTCCTCCTGGAGTGTGTGATACTCCTGACCAGGCATTACGGTAACATATCTTCGATCTTTAAATTGAAGGTTTCATCTCTGGCCCATCACTTGCCTGATTACAAAGTAAGGATTTCTTTTCAATAATGCAGCATCTATCGGGAGCATTGAGCGCTTTGGGATTACTACCAAAATATTGTAGCGTGTTTGGTGTGTCACGCTACAAATAAATTCACGTAGGTCTCAAATTCCGAAGAGCCTTTATTGTTCTTCACGCATACACAATCACACGCTTTACAATTGTTACCACTTGCAGTGTTACAAATACTGCTTACAATATCTCGGCAACACTAGACTCTCTTCTCTGGCGGATGTTCTAAGACACTCTTCTTCGACGGCTGGACAAAGACTGACTGCTTCTCGCCGAAGCTGGGCTATTCATCCCCTCGGCCGCTGCTATGCAAATGAACCCTCTGTTATAGCAGTGGAAACGTTGCTTTGTTGGTTCCGCGATTCCTACGCAATGACCCATTGTTATTGCGTTGTCTCTGTGGGAACGCTTCGCGTATTCGTCGTAACCGTGGAGATTCGATGTTCTCTACACCACGGCTCACTGTTGGGATTACAGTGCCGCTATTGTTACTTCCTATGTAACGGTCTGTTCTAGCGTTTCCATAGAAGTTACTCTTCTGGATTGCAAACACGTTACAATATATTTATTTATTCTTTTTTGTTTGACTGCGCAGCTACACTTTAACTAGCTTAGATTACCACGCATCTGATTAAATATTTATATTTTATGGTTGATGTCACACTATATATTCCAAATATTTATATAAATTATATCTTGAAAACAGTTTTGATCGTATTAGTGTAGAGCTTCGGCATGCCACATTTGTCTCATTTGTGTGTATTTTAAACTCTTATTTAATTCCAATATTATGTAATTACATTATATACACGAATCTCTCTGTAGTCTAGGATACATGGAAGTTTGTCTCTCCTCGCTAGATTTAAAGTTCTCACAGCGGTGAGTATGAAGAGTACGCTCTTCAGGATTGTAACGTCTTGTATTTCGGAGAAGGTCCGACGTTTCGGAGGAACATATCGCCTCCGTCCTCAGGGCTCAATAGTAAACGAAAAGAGAAACCAGCGGATTCATGCGGGATGTCAAGTGTTATAACTCAGGAGACCGCACTCCTTACCTCTCCAATTTCAATGACGGCATGTTGGCCATGAAAAGCGCTTCACACAGCATTTCAGATCTGTCAAGAACACCTTCGTTATTTTCGTTTCAAAGGATGTTTTTCTGAAGTGTCTTCATACTCGTATTCTAGAATTAAATACTGTATATCCACCCCTAGCATGTTATTCCAGGCGCTAAAGCTTGTTTTAAATTCTCGAAGGCAAGTAACATATATTACATTAAAATTATCGTATTCGATTCTATCTGTAGACTACATAACCATCATCTCATATCATTTGATTCGTAAATAAAGGTCATTAAATCTTTGTGAATGAATTGGCCGTGTTCATACCACACTCCGCTAACGTACTGAAGACTCTTAACAACCCTCACGTATGCGTTTTTTAACTTACGTTCAGTGTAATATACGTGGTCCTCAATTACCTTGAAGAGCTCCATTGAAAAGATGTCATTTGCGTAGGCAATTTGTGTGTTGACATCCTGAGAGTACGAGAGGCACAGCGCGCCGAGTATTAAACACAGAGTTTCTGCAACAAACAAATATTGGAGAAGTTATTGTCATACTTTTGTATCTGAAACAAGTACATACCTGGCGAATATACATATATTGTAACGTGTTCAGTTACTAGACACGGGGTTTTGATTCGTTGTTGAATTTACTGACCACTTATTAATCTTAACGACAGGTAATTATAAAGCTATCGGTAATTCACGTTCTACAAATCACTGAGGCTTCTGTGGCTTCATCAGGAGGCGCCTGGTAATGGATCTCAGCATGTTCTCACTACTTACCCTTGGCCCCAAGTATGTCTTCACCTTACAACTGCCTGAAAGACGTCGGTCGCTCGGCCTTCTACAGCACAGCCATTCCTGGCTCCAGTCTCCTCGAGATCCGTTACAAAGATTTCTATTCTCTCCTTGCCATGTACGTGTTTCGAAATGGGGCCACCTCTTCGACGAAGGAGGGGTCGATGTAGGTGCTACGTTTGTTGCGCCGTAGTTTCAGCGCGAGAATATCCGTGGACTCTGTGCAACCTCTGTCATTTCATTATACGAAGTAATACTTATACAAAACATACAGAGGATTTCTGTCAGTGGAGGCTGGTGCAACCGGTTATGCATTAACGTATGTAACTACTTTGAAACTGCAGTTAGCTGAATGGTCGTAGGCCTGACCGCCGCCAGGTTTAGGCTTCTTATGCCTGGCTTCTCCTTTCCCATAGCAGTTACGTTTGGATTTACATGGTTTAGATTTACTTCTGTGACCTGCATAATTTAGCTGTATGGTTATACACGTAAGGAATTTTGAAAACCACGTGCAATTGGTGGGCACCTGTGAAGATTTCCAGTAACCCTGAGTGCTCCGTTCTGCAGGCGCTGCAATTTCAAGAGGCAAGCGTCCGCTGCATAGACCCAGATGGAACACTCACAAGTCATAACTAACCTAATCAGAAGTTTATAAAGAGAAAGTTTAATATTTGCACTTAAACTGTATTTTTGAACAGAAAATAATTCCTTACGTGCGTGCGCAAAGCCATCCTCCTCTCGAAGTCGACACCAGAATATGTTACATTATTTACAAAGGGAATATCTCGTCCGTTTAGTTGTATGACATCGTCAAGGACTCTTAAGTATTCTGAAGAAATAGTTCGCCTGAGTTTTCCCTTCATTGATCTCTATATTCCGGTGCTCGTGCCACGAATTCACTGCAGTGAGGCCGCGTTGCAGTTTGGATAGAACACAACGATAGTGTTTATTTGTCTCGTAAATACAGGTATCTTCCGCGAACAGAGCAAGAGTTCCAGGTATGTATAGACTGTACAATATTGGGGCAAGGACGGAACCTTGAGGAATCCCTGCCATTATTTTTCTTGGCGTAAAAAAAATTGCATTCTACCAAGACATAAAATTTCCTCTCAGTGAGAAAATGAGCAATTAGCTTAATGGAGCTCTCAGAAAATACGAATTCTGACAATTCATATAGCAGACCAGTGTGTCATGTTGTGTCAAAGACATTCTCAATATACAGCAGCAGTCGACATATTATTACTGAAATTGGGGTGACGTGATCCGCCAGCCTCATATTGTCGTACTGCCATCTGCTCAAAAGCCAAACTGACTTGCTTTCAGTAAGTTCCTTTCCTCTGTGTGTTTCTTTTTTGTTGTTGTTGTTAAAGTAAGCTTCTCAAATACTTTGCCCGTAGTGGGCAAGAGGCTGATCGGACGTAAATATTGGTAAAATTTTGGGTCTTTGCCGGGTTTCGGCAACGTTTCGATTTTTGCCTCCTTTCAAGCTGCCGGGAAGTGACCATGTCGAAGGCAGTGATTGAATAAATGTGTTAAATGCACAAGAGGTCTTCGGGGAAGATGCCGCAGATATTCATTTAGAATGCCGTCAAAACCACAGGCCTTTCCTAATTTCAAGGACTGTATTCTTTTGAGATGTCACAGGGTCGGAAATTAACAATGCCACCTATGCAAGTATATAAAGCTTACATAGTTCTATGGAAACGCCGGTAACGATTTAAAGCAAACACAGAGTCAGTCACTAACCATATCTAACAATGTACATAGGCCGCGTCATAGCTCAAGAGGTTAATCACTGGCTTCCCACCGCGGCTGCCCGGGTTCGATCCCCGGTCTGGTCAAGTGGGATTTGTGGTGGACAAAGCGGCGCTGGGGCGGGTTTTCTCCGAGTACTTCGGTTTCCCCTGCCAATCTTCATTCCACCAAATTCTCCATCATCATAATCACCCGGGGCAGGCTACAATAGGCCAATCAGTGGCCGCCGTGCCGAGTGGACCCAGTTGGACTCCACCCCCCACTAAGCGAATTAAAAAAGAAACAATGTACAGGGCCTCACAATATTAAAAAAAATCAAATGGAACTTTTAGAATGTAAATTCTTATTTCGTATTATGTACTCATTTTATAAGATGCCTGTTATTTGAGATCTGTAAGGTTACAAAAATTAAGTCCACCCGACATTTCGCTTAGGAATCCCAGTACCAGATTTCACTGAAATCCTTTCAGTAGTTTCGGGAATAAAACATAATGGACATGCAGATGACGGACTAACACAACCTATATATATATATATATATATTCCCTTTGTGCGCCCAGGAGTTATGTTCCCGGTATTTGTAGGAACAAGGCGAAGAGATAAACAATAATACTTGCTCGAAATAGTACTCACCCGACCACATCTCGTGTTGTTCTTTGTTTCTAGAATGAGCAGGTTTGCACGGCACGCATATGTTTCATCTGCTCGCCCACCGCTGGGAATCCCCGTGCGTCATTCTGTGGCCTTGGGCTTTGCGTGGTCATGGACAAACGATCTTACTTTTCACGATTACACCACCATTTAAATGGGTTCTTCCGCGCAGTTTTTATTTCTTCTTTTCTGGTTTATTTTACTACGCTGTGAGCAGCTAAACTGCGCAGTGTCGAGTGATAGGAGGTGAGATGAAGTGTGGGTTGGAAGAGATTTGGAAGGAAACAGTCTTAACCTAAATCAGGCATCTGCCTGGAGTGACTGAGGAATATCACGAGAACCCTCAGGATAGGCGATTTCCCGGTTGAAATTCGAACCGTACATCTCCCGAATATGAAGTGCTTAATTAAGCATCACGCTAAGACGTATGGAGGACTGGAGGTATAGTTCCATGAATTCTTACTCCGACAAAAGAAGGAAATAAGTTTTCAGCTTCATCGGCCACCGGGTTAGCTCAGTCTGGTCTAGGGGCCGAGGAGTCAGGGTTCAATTCCCACCTGGGGCAAAATATTTTCTCTACTTCACATGGTCCAGATCGGCTGTAGGGCCCACCCAGCCTCCTAACCACATAACATAAGGGTTCTCTTCCAGGAGGTAAAGGGATCGGAGCGTCAAGCTGACAATCTGCTTGCAGCTTGCTTCTGGCATGTTTCTTACTGACCCTGAAGATGAAGACAGTTTGAACTTCCGAAAAGTCCCTGGTTTACTAATAGACTATACTACATTATATCCGAGAAGACAGCAGTCTTCAGAAAAGTCTCCGTCTCTGTTGGGATTCGATCCCCGGTCGTCCAGCCCGTAGAATTACGGGCTGAAATTTGCTTCGTGGAAGTCAATGAAAGTCTAGGCTCTAGAATCTAGGGCGACACAGCTGCGCTAGCATACTGGGTGCTTACACCTTCTTTATGGCAAAATGTGGTCTGCAATTCCTTTTAGGGGAACTATATTTCATTAACTCCAGTGCTTCTGCAATGGTCTGAGTAGGCCTGTGAATTCATACTTGATGCAGTTTCCTGCTCTGTTACTGGATATGAGACTCAGCCATGTTGCTATTAGTGATTATTAGGTAGTAAAATGCAAGACGTTTTTGTAGACTATAATTGCATAATTTTCATAATAAATTTCGTGAAAATAAGTTAATTGTTTCAAATATTAAATTGGTGGACAAACACAGACACTCGCACAGACAAAATGCTGTTCTCATCAGTCTCATCAGGCTAAAATAATTAATAAATTATTAATTTATAAAATTCAATTATAAAGCAAAATAGGTATACAGTGTTACAAATACATTTCATTCATACTGGAGGAATGTTTTTCTCTCCTTGCCATTACTTCTACGCTGTGTTGAACCTGATGATCCCATTCCTTAGATCCTCAGACATTTCAGTCGCCATTTTGTGTCAAATATATTATAGGCCTATGACACTTATGCTATTTTTATGCAGAAGTTTCTATAAACATACGAGTATATTGCAGAAATAAATGAGATTTTTAAGTTGTATACCTATGCAAATTTAATTTAATTTCCCAAATTTGCTATAAACACTTTGTCAAAAACGAATGAGGGTAAGGACAGCTGGATGCTCATGAGACTCAGCCATAGAAACTGGAAGTTGAATATGGTGCTGAACGTCTCGTCTCTTTCTTAGAGATTTTGTCTCCTTAAGGTGTGAATTGTCAGACTTCAGGACACCGCGGCCCCGAAAATAATACACAAATTTATGCCCAATCCATGTCTCTGCCGGTTAGTGAAAAATTCAGTTTTGCTCACTATAGAAGATCCCAATCAGGCTGTAAGATGATAACCGAAATTTAAATAGCTGTGCAACACCTCTAAACCTAAAATTTCTGTACAGTCAAGAAAATCTTCATGAAATATTTCGCCAGCTGCAGCTACATTTTCCAAAGGCATCTATATTAAATCCTACTGTCATACTGATTTTCCGAAATTGCACATAGATTCAACAATAATTTAAATAATTCTTGACACTCGACCCACAGTTTCAATAACTGTGCATTAAGGGCAAGGGCACACCAAGGAAACTTGCAACCGCAAAGCAACTGCAGTTTCCTCAATTTACGCTGCTCCAATCAAAGTGTTCAACTCAGCTTGATAACGATTCTCGGAAATTGTAGTTGCGTTGCGGTTGCCATTCTTCTTGGCTTGCCCTCGCCCTAATATTTCCGCACGCGAAGGTTCCATCTCTTGGGATTTCACGAAGGTTCCTCAGACAGACCGCCCTCTCTGATTAATTTTGTGGCTCTGAAAGTGATGCCATTTGACCAAAAATGTCGTCACTAATCTGTGAGTAGCAACAGCCGCAGGGATATTTCTTCTCGAGGGAGTTGTGGTACGCTTGGTTTATGAGTAATCCGTGCGTGTTCAGAACGTTTATTTTCTGTGGTGTATTTGTTGAATTGGCGGTAACGTATTTTTGCTTTGCATGTGGTCTAATCCGAATTCAGGAGCTAAGTAGATACTGAATTATGGAATCAGAAGGAAGTGAATCACAGGTGAGATACATTCGTAACTTCATACACTGATATATTGAAATGATTCATTTCTTGGACATTATCAGCTTATATGACGTTAAATGGTTAGTGAATAATGAAATGTTTAATTTATGTAATATGTAGACAGTAAAAACAGACTATGAAGTTGAATTCACGTTAAACCCTTTAAGCACCAGCAATGCAGTTGCTTATATAACCAGAATGTAGACATACACCAAATAAGCGTAGCCAGTTTTTGTGGGTTCAGTCTCTGTATTTGTTTTTAGCTACTTACCTGTGAATAATCTGAGTTCATCTTTGTGGTGTGCAATCATAACACTGCATTGCTGCAACAGGAATAAGTATTCTAATGGTACATTTTAAATCAATTTCAGACATCCAGAAGTACAGAGCCTAGAATTGCATTTGGAGAGGGAAATGAATTTGGACTTAGTGAAGTCCATGCATATTTGACAGACAAACTTAGGAGGCTCTCTGTTGTTATTGATAAGTATCATTCCTTAGGAGACAATAACCCTGTACCCCCAGTGACAGGAGATCTTCAGCATCTTCTGAAATACAAAACTCAGCTGCTGAGTTGCTTGTCACAACAGTTAAGAACTTTGCATCCACAAGGTATATAATGTATGTTACATTATTTGTAGCTTCTAAAGGGTGGTGGTGTATAACACTCAGGATTACTGGTTCTTTAGGATATTGGACAATGAGCAAAATCCAAAAATTCAATAATCTCACATACAGTGTTGTATTTGCACTGTAGTAGGTGTTGGAGGTTCTAATATTCAGTATTTCCATAACAGGTGTACCACTTTTTACACCTATGCTATGCTGGGGGGGGGGGATTAATATTAAAATATATCTTGAATGAGAGGTTTCAGATTAGATTCAAATGACTTGAGATGGAGTCCACGGGCAGGCTTTTGTGCCCTCAGTAATGATCCTTTGGGATCCATTAAAAGTAGGGAAGTTTCTGGCCACCTGAGTGACTGGGAAATATAAACCATCTTAAGTGTTGATAAAATAAAGAGAGGTTTTGTGTTCATAATCTGCATATAAAATAACCCCAAACATGTATAAATTTTGTTGACAAGAAGTTCCAGGAAGAATNTTGAATGAGAGGTTTTAGATTAGATTCAAATGACTTGAGATGGAGTCCACAGGCAGGCTTTTGTGCCCTCAGTAATGATCCTTTGGGATCCATTAAAAGTAGGGAAGTTTCTGGCCACCTGAGTGACTGGGAAATATAAACCATCTTAAGTGTTGATAAAATAAAGAGAGGTTTTGTGTTCATAATCTGCATATAAAATAACCCCAAACATGTATTAATTTTGTTGACAAGAAGTTCCAGGAAGAATGTATTATGACTTTTTTTATTGCTATTGGGGTGGGACTAAGTCCCTTGTACTGCGGCCACTTCTGGCCTATTATACCAGCCCCAGATGATAGGTGAGGGTGATTGTGGAACAATTGGTGGAATGAAGATTGGCAGAGGAAACCGAAGTACTCGGAGAAAACCTGCCCCAGCGCCACTTTGTCCACCACAAATCCCACTTGACCAGACCCGGGTGCAGCCTATAACTTTACTTTAAATGCTTACATCACTATGGAGAGGATTGTAGAATACGAATCAAATTTTAGTGCTTTACTTTTATACGTGATTGTCACCAGAACAAATCAGCCTTACTTGAACGTTGCCAAGCATAACATCAAGCTTTGCAGTATCCATGTTTGTAACTTTAAAGGTTAACAGAAAAATAAGGTTTCATATACTGGTACAAAATTTGTAGATATTGTGTTTTATCACCATGCCAGATTTTTATGTCTTTAAATTAGATTTGTGTGGTTAGCATGTTATCATTTTACATTGTACATAAAGATAACAAAAAGTTGTGTATTTATGAATGATGTATAATCCTACAGAATATAGGTGTCCTAAGTTAAAGGAAGTATTCATGTAACTCCATAATTTGTAATGATTCACAAGTTGTTACTAGTGGTGAAAAAATGCTAGTCAAGCAAGCAGCATATATAAATACATGAACACAAAGCTTAAACTATTGGATTGCAATACTAATATATATTTTAATAAGAAGTGCTTAGCAGAGAACTTAACACCAGAATATGCACTAACTAAAATGACAGTAAACCCACACAGTAAAATTAGAGACCTTAAAACAATCAACAAATTCCAAATAACATGAATAAAAATGAAATGAAATTTTGGTATACTAAAAAACTACTTTTAAATAAAATCCTGTACAGTTTGCATTTAGAAAACGCATTCAAATGGTAAATGCTATGGCATATAATATACATTAACATCGAAAGAAAGATTGGACAAGAACGTCTTGTTTTTTGTGGGGCACCCTCTCTGACAAGAGGATGGGTCTGTCCTTTGTATATGCTGCTGGCCCTTGCCAGCGCAGTCTTTCTTGGGTCTGAGTCCCTTGGAACTCATGACCATATTTTACTGTCTCAGATTTGAGACTTCCCTTTTCATTGCCTCCTATGACTTGCAGGGTCACGGTGGAGGTATTCGGCCCCCGCCTCCACAGGGGTTTGATTCTGAACAGGCACAGTGCTTTAGTTATATATTATATTTTAACATCATGTTGCATTGAGCATCATCCTTACTATCAAAGTATGTGTCAATAATGCAACAATTTAAAAGACATTAGGAATATGTTTCACACTAAAAATGCATTTCAATACTTTTTGATGTTGTTAAAATCATTACATGTCAATAGGACATTAGAAGCATATTCTGTACATTAAAAGTGATTATCCAGTTTTCTAAAATGTCTTTAGTCATATATTTCTTCCAGTTTACGACATGTTTCGGCCATATGGGCCATCATCAGGTAATTTCTTTTCTTTTGGGGAGACCACTGTACTGTATTCTTGTTAACTGTGCTTCCATGCACGTCAATATTTTGTTTCTATCTCATGATCAGAATGCCGCCGTTGCAATCTATTGCAACTGTCATAGTTTTCATGTGTTGTATGTATCACTAGTGCAGTCTATCTGTGTACTCTAGTTATATAGCCTTGGCACGGACCACATAGAAAACATTGTTCCCAACAATCTCTTCTATTGTGTGTGTATCCATTGCCATGGATACATGTTTATCGAGCCATTACCTAGCAGCAGACGGCTTCTCTTATTAAACTATTTTGTCATCATGTCAGTATGAATAGACAAAGGGTGATGCCTTCATTATGAAATACACCCCAAGAAGATACTAAATTATGACAAGGAACTGTGTTGAGACTCATGAAAGAACATGTGATGAATAAACTAAAACAATTCTTTATCATTAAATAATGTGTTACAGAATGGACACGTTTCTCTGCACATGTACAGTTGGATGTAATGGAAAGTTTGAAGAAAGAAGTTCTAGACTTGAGAACTTTGTTAGGTGTGTGTGAGAAGCAACTTGCTGAAGACAAAAAGCAGCTTGCAGAGTAAGGTTACAGTTTTACTGCGACTAAATCTAAATTTCTGTAATGCCAGTATTTTAAAATAATGTTGCATGCTTCTTAAAATATTCCTAATAACATACAAGACAGTTCAGTTATTTTTATTATTTTTATTTCATTGTCATTATAAAGAACTGATTTTTTCATTCGTAGTGTACTTGCTCATGTTATTTGCCCAGACTGCAGAGCATAGAATAATATGACAAATAATGATTTGGAATGGATGTTGAAGGAAGCAGTAATGGCCTACTTTGAGGTACTATCCTTTTATTTGCCTGGAGAGACTGAGGAAAACCACAGAAAATCTCAGTCAAAGTGGCTGGTGTCCCAACCAAGATTCAAATCGAGAATCTCCTGAAATCAGCTTGTAGCATTACACTTGAGTCATCTTTCTTGGTTTATTATAGAAATTAAATTTAGAAGTAATATACAGGTGTTCCAGGAGGAAGTGACTAAAGTTCAAGCAGTAATTACATGACTGAGTGGAAAATGTTATATCAGTATTTATCTCATTCATGACATTTATGGAGTTATGGTTAATCATAGTTACATAGTAACTAACTTCATGGAGCTGACCCCTTCTTGAGAAGCTGCCAGTTGTGCAGCTACTCAAGAACTTCCCAACGTTTTATGGAACCTGAAAGTTCATTACCATATTCACAAGAGCCCTCCACTGGTCCTTATCCTGAGCCAGAACAATCCAGTCCATACTGCTCCAGCCTATCTCTAAGATCCTTTTTATTATTATCCGCCCACCTATGTGTTGGTCTTGCTAGCGGTCTCTCTCATTCTTGCTTTCCCACCAATCTCATGATTTATGTATCTCCTTTGTGCAGTTTAGAAGAGAAGATTAAAGATTTGAAAGAAATGTATGAGGAGAGACAGAAAACCCCAGAAGTTCATAAGATGGATTCATTGGTGCCAGTACAAAAGAACCTCTCAGTGGAATTCAATAAACACAGGAGAGAGTTGGTTAGTATGATAGAATGTGTCTACAATTCATGGAACTTTTGAGCTTTATAACATAAGTATCATATTTTATTTTTTTGATGATTTTCTTCATTAGAACCATATTAATGAGATACACTAACTCCTTGTCATCAGTAATATTAATGATGTGGCTGGTGAAATGTATAGTGTGAGAAAAAGACTCACACCATTTGTTTAGAAATTATTAAGTCCTGAAGTAATCAACCTTATTGCCTATTTGATGATAAATAATCCCTCTAGCTGATGCAGGAAAGGTAAATATCATATTAAATCACTTATGTGTATTTATTTAATTCCAGAATGACATGATAGAACAGCTCTTCCCAGATGACAGCACTGACCTGGTGGATTTCCTTCAAGTGAGTGAATTGTTTATCCTTCTCAGTTTTGTTTCTTATGGTTTGTTACAAAGAATATTTTTAGAGATCTTTCTAAATGTTTTGTTTGCATGTAACTCTCATGAGTGCAAGAAAAAATGGCCTCCAACCTAAAGGAAATGAAAGCCAGGTTAGAACACCTGATGAAAGAAAGTAAGACCAGCAGAAAGAGATAAAAGACAGACCAAGTGGAAATGAAATCCATCCAAGAGAAGATGGATGCCTGGCTAAAAGAAATGAAGGTTTGGCGAAAAGAGAATGACCTGCCAAGAAAATGTGAAGGCCAGGATAGAGGTCTTTGAAGGAAAGATGACATCACCAGGAAGGCCTGTCTAGGAAAGATGGAGGTGAATCTAGAGACCGGCCAGGAATAGAAGGAAGCCAAAATAAGACAGATTTTGAAAAAGTATAAGCTGGTTTGGAGGCGAATCAAGAAAGTCTGAGGCAGTAGTGGAACATCAGGAAGTCCCTAAGGAAGAGGAAACTATTGGAGCACTGGAGGACCGATATGGGGACCAGCATCTAGCCAAAAGGCATGGGTGACAGCCGAAGAAACAAACCCAGGGTGATGGTGGGTCCTGGAATAAGTTGGCCACGACCTGCTGTGCCGTTGCTGCATGGCATAAGGGACATGACTGTCAGGGACCAGGCAGAGACAGTTTTGCAAGAGGAGCCCCTGGAGGATGGACAGTCGAGAAGAGACAATGGAGAAAGTTGACCAACGACTTTGTTGTACAAGAATTCCCTAAAGGGCAAACTTTTGAGAAGTGATGACAGACACAGTCAAAATTCAGCAGTGGCATAAGGGACCAAAGCCTGAAACAAGCTATGTCTGGGGAGCAAAGAGACATTTATGAGGCTCTTGGACAAACATCAGACTGGAGGTCACAAAGCACGCAGTTGAGTTTTCCATTGGGCTGCAGAAAATGAGTGCCTGGACATTATGGAGGGATTAGCCCCCTCCAAAACAAATGAAGAGACATCCAAAGCACAGCCCTTGGAAAAGAAGGATGATGGTGGTACACCTGGACCAACTGGCAACTTATCAGGGAACCGCTTGGGACGGGCAACCTGAAGGAGGGAGCAGTGAGAGCAGTTAGAGATTAATCACTGTGAGAACTGAGCCACAGGCAAGGAAGGTGAGGCTGATCACAGATGTCACAAGCACAGTCCTTGGAAAAGAAGAAATGTTGGTATGTCTGTAAGCCATGCAGGTTGAATAACTGTAAGGAGGGATCAATGTGGCATGTGGACCTCTTCGTAGGCAACAATGCAAAATAAAAAACTGTACAACAGCCGTTGCTAGGTAATTGCGCCACCAACAGACACGAACATTATATCATGATGCCAATTGCATTGCAACAGAGGAGTGGTGTTTTCTAGGCTGTCCATGGCAGGATGCTATAAACAGGACAAAGTAGGAGTTAGTCAGTGAAGTGGAGTTGATCGGTGAGTGACTTAGTCAGTCAAGAGTGATTGTAGCTGAGGCCAGGGACAGTTCAAGACCTCAGAGTAAGGGGAATGTTCACCATTAGAAGTCACTACAGAAAAATGGCCACAGCAGACCGAGTAGACTTAAATGTGAACTGTATTGAACTGCAGAGTGTGTGAATTATTGATAGCGCTATAATTACTTGTAGTTAAGTGTTCAGCGGGGCACGCGGTAGTGTAGTTGGTTGAGGGGCTATGCTACAAGCCGGAAGGTCGTGGGTTCAAGTCCCGATGAGGTCATTGGATTTTTTTCAGTTGACCTAATCCTTCCAGCTGCACTAAGCCCTAGGGTTTACTCAGCCTCTAACGGAAATGAGTACCAGGAATTAATTAAATAATTTTCCTGGGGAGTAAAGCGCGGCCGGCGCTTAAGGCTGACAATCTTACCGCCATCTGAGCCGATTGTCTAGATAGTGTGGGACCCTCAACATCTCACAACCCTATGGTCCTTCATGGCCTGGTACAGGGATAGCTTTACTTTTTTTTACTAAGTGTTCAGCAAATCCAATTACCAATCCAAACCCTGACTATAGTCACTGATACACGTGACAGTATAATACATCTGTCAGCGTTTAGTGACAAAGCACGAAATCATACATTCAAGGCAATAATTTGGTGAAAAGAAACTAGGAATTGCAGGTTTCTCTTTCCGTCACATTTATTTATACTTCATAACCTTGTTAGATAACTTCATGATGAAACAATGTCTGTCACTGTGTTATTCATGCAGTACATACAGCTTGTAATCAGCATAGCAGCTTACTATAGCTGACTTCAAATTACATAAACACATGTGAGCAAATGCTATATTTTTTCTTTGCAGCACATCATATTTTGTACCTTCTTCTTATTCTTATTGTGTGAGCATACTATACAGGGTGTCCCNCTACTGTAATAGCAACATGCCTGATTACAGTTTATTCTCAATTTTTAAAGTCCATCTATTTTTCAAACCAGGGTACATCATACCTTGTGTAGGCAACCTTATGGAGGAAAAGTTTTATACTTGAATTTGCCACTAATGAATGAATACTGGAAGTTATGTTAAAAACATTGTGGGAACTGCCCACATTCAAGCAAGTGTGACAACGCAAGCGTCATTGCTTAGCAACGACGAGGAGGCTACACATACTGCCTCACGGCAGTCGACCGTTTCACCCGTTGGCCAGAAACCATCTACATTGCTATCTGAGAATGACACACTTCCATTGCTATAGCAGATGGATTATAGTTCCTGTCCGTAATCACTAATAACGAACTGAACTGTACAAAAATATATAAAGACTGAGCATTTTTTGTATCTTAATACATTCTGCTGAACATTATGTCCTATAAGCATCATCCAGAAAAGACAATTGCAGTGAGAGGATGGAGTTTGTGTCATGTCTTACTTGGGTCTTAATATTATGGTTGATTAATTAACAGTAATGTGAAATTCTGTGAATTGGGTTCCATAAAATGCTGGGAAATTCTTGAGTAGCTGCAGAATTGGTGGCTCCTCCAGAAGGGCTCAGCTCCATGAGTAAGTAAGTAAGTTTGTAATTCGCACACGTTTTCCCCCCCCCCCAACAATTCATAATTTATTTACATCCATAAAC